GAAGATTTGGCTTTGGGTGGGGGGCACACAAAGCAATAAACAGATGATGGGTCATAGAATTTTGCACTTGAAACCCATATAATTTATTAACCAATGTGCTACAATATTTTTAATTTTTTTTTATTACAAAGGGTATTACATATGTGTCCATTTTTCCCCCCGCCCTAGACAGTCCCCTAGCGAAGGGATTCTTTTTGTTTTTGTTTTTGTTTTTTTTTTAATATATTTTACTGATTTTCCCCCCGGCTGAGCCAAGAGGAAAAACAAGATATTGTGCTTCAGGTTTTCAAGTTTTGTTCTAGTGATACATGTAGCTCTTTAAAGCGACAGTCCTTAAAATGTGGAATGGGGGGGAGGGGGAAAATGGCGGAGGTATAAAGGGACGTGTCCTGTGCCTTCTCCTGGAGCAGATAAGGGTGAGCAGCTGAAACGGGTAACATACAGCCCGAATAGGCAGAGGATTTTCAGCTGAGAGACTGTCTGCAGCTAGGAAAGACCGAGGACCCCCAGGAAAAAAAAAAAGGACGGTTGGAGACTGCGGCTGAAACCTCTCTTGGTGTGCCAGCGCAGCAGCAGAGACCGCGCCATTTTGGGCGATTGTTGCCGGCATCCAGAGACCAGCTACTAACCTGGAAACAAGGGATCTCAAGCAGCGTGACTGCGTGAACTCAGACAAGCACTGCTTCTTCTCACGGAAAGGTTAGACTTTCCCTAAAGGTGCGGTTTGCAATTCGGGTTGGAAAGAGGACCGAGCTCGCGTGCGCGCGCTGGGCGAAATCTGCGCCCCACAGAGTCCGCAGCCGTTGGGACCAGCGTGACCCGCCAGTGGAGAAGGGGCCCCACAGGGCTGCTGGCAGACGGGAACATAGTACTTAGCATATCTATGACTGTGAAGTTGCTTCATGACCTCATTTAACCTGTCCTTGTTCTTCACAGCTTTCCTGATAACCATGATTTTACATTCCATTTTAAGAGAGAACTTTGCTTTTTCTAAATATTTTTCCGCTTTAATTTATATTTCATAAATTCTTGGTCATTTATTAAAGATAGATTAGTAACTCATCTTTTTTTTTTTTGGTAGTTAGTCTTTTTGTTGTTGTTAATGCTCACCCAAGGATATTTTCCTACTGATTTTTTTTTCTTTTTGAGAATGTAAGAGAGAGAGGGTAAGACAGAGAGTAACATTGATATTAAGGAAACACATTGATTGGTTACCTCCTGCATCAGCGGTGACCAAGGCACCGATTGGGAAGGAGTCTTCAACCAAGGTATGTGCCTTAGCTGGAATCGAATCTGGGACCCTTTGGATTGTAGGCCTTTGCTCCATCCAGAGCCAAATCGGCCAGGGCTCTGGTAGATATTCTTATCTTTCAATATTTCACTATTATGTCCATTTTAATAAACATTTGGTTATTTCTACTAAAGGTGGTACAAACACTTCTGTATAATTCTTTATATGGATATAAATGTTATTTACCTTTGTCAGTTGGACATCTCCCACAGGCTCCTGGACTGCAAGAGGGCACAGGGCCAACTGAGGGATCCCCCATGAGTGTATGAATTTCATGCACCAGGCCTCTATTTTAAACATATGAACTAGGATATCATGGTTCCATTCACAGTCACGGAAGATACCTGAGCCCCGTCTTGAACCGCAGTGTGGGGTATGCAGGAGGCAGCTGATCAATGATTCTCTCTTAGCATTGATTTTTTTCTCTCTCTCCTTCAATCTCCTTTGAATTCCAGCATATCCCTGCAGAGACCTTCCCCGGCCAGGCACTTCTCACTCCCCGAGGGTCACAAGGACATTTGTCTTTGGGTGCAGTGTACTAAGAAATGGAACCTTTAAGAAGCCAGTGACTCTGCTGCAGGGAGGCAGGTGTTGTGGGCACTCAGGTGTCATTGTGGTTGGCCCCATCTGGGAATCTCCAGCAGCCTCACTAGAGCTCCCTGAATCTCAGTTGGCTAAATGTGACATGAGGTGATTGATGGGGCTTACTCTGACCCTCCAACATCAATAAAAGTAACAAGCTGACTACTTGTTGCCAGGATTTTATTGTTAGATTTTTTAGCATTTACTCTTTCTTTTTTTTGTTTGTTTTTTGTTTTTTGGTTTTTTTTTTGTCTTTCACTTAGTTTTATTTTGTTTTTAAGAAAATATTTTCAGTGAATACATGCTATTCTTGCAAGCTTGAAAAATGAAGCTGTTTTTGAAAAACCAAGGTTAAGTAAAAAATGACTGGCCATGGCCAGTGTTGCTGAGTGGTTGGATCGTAGGCCTGTTGTGCCCAGATTTCAAGATTCCCAAGAGCCCACCAGGGAGCCAGCGAGTCCGATGCAAAAGCAAAGAGTCATTTATTTCAAACCTAGGTTTGG